TGAGACGAATCTCAATAAGTGTACAACCCCAAACCCCACGTAGGCACTCACGTACCGCCGGACGAAAACACACATAACACACAACGATCGGCCAAACTAACAATCACATGCGACCCTACCGGAATCCATCACGCACGTTCTCGCACGTTAGACAATAACACGCCAACACATCACAAGCAAGGAATCGCCAGACGCGCGCGTGCCTCAATTATAAGACGAAACCACTTGGGCACGTCCCATACCGTGCCTAGCGTTTCTACCCCATAATTAAGCATCACATCACGCGATACAAACACACTCGCACGCTACTCACACCATGCGTCACTTTCCACAATCCTCTCGCTTGTCTTGCCAAATCCCACTCATTCTCAACCTTTCCACCACTACCGCGCCCGCGTAAAACGCATCAGGCCAACGGTCTTCTGACCTCGTCAGGCATCGTCACCCCGTCGGGCCGGGCATCGTCACCTCGTCAGGGACGGCATCGTCCCGCGTAAACGTACACGCCTCAGGACGGAATCCTACACACACTTTCCTTCTACCGTGCCCGCGTAAAACGCATCAGGCCAACGGTCTTCTGACCACGTCAGGCATCGACACCCCGTCGGGCCGGGCATCGTCACCTCGTCAGGGACGGCATCGTCCCGCGTAAACGTACACGCCTCAGGACGGACCTTTCCAACCAAACCACATTTCCATATCCTCGTTCCACTCAAACCACACTTGCCACGCCACCACACAAACACACTGCCAAACATACACACTTCACACACGTTTCACATTTACACAACCTCGTCACACAAACACCGCACGAACACCCAATCACACATTGTTGGCACGCGAATACAATACGCGAATGCACTACCACACCACCACACTTCACGGCCACACACACGCGACACATGGCCAGTCCACAATCAGCCCAAGCACAATCCCAAATCAGCCACAACCACACAGTCATATCACAACACACACGATCAACACACAAACTGGTATTTCTCCCCACCCAAACGTTATCAAATCAGTTCAGGCCCTTCACAACAATTTCACAAAATCTCGGGCCGGACCTAACAGTACCAACCACACGACAAACAGCACCCCACAGCACCTAAAACCACACATCACAGCCATCAATCAGTCTTTTTCGCCCTCAAAATCACCATATCTCACTCCCGGCTCTTCACGGCACTTTCATAAAATTACGAGCCGGTCCTAATGGTACTAACTGCGTATCGAACAGCCACTCACAGCACATCACACGGCATATCACAGCCAGCAAACAGTCCCCAAAATCACTTAAACCGAACTTCAAACGAGCCTAGAAATACCCGAGGTCCTAAATGACATTTGGGGAAAACACTTACCCAAAAAGGCGACACAGAACGGGGCTTGAACGGGCCGGGACAGCGGCAGCAGCGTCGCCGGCGATGTACGGACGGCGTGAACAGTGTCCCCCGTACGGGCGCGATGAACAGTACCACTCCGTACGGACACTGTACGGACAGGCTGGGACGGTGGCCAAAGAGGTGCCGGTGACAGCCGCGGCGTCCGACGGTCCGGCGTGAACAGTGATCCGTACGGGGGGTGAACAGTACCCCCGTACGGACACTGTACGGACTACGCTGGACGGCGACGTACGGCGAGGCTGGACGGCTGGGTGTCGACGGAACGACGATCGGAGCTCCGGCGAAGCTCCGGCGGTACTGTTTGCAGACCGGGAAAGAGAAAAACAGAGAAACAAGGCTGTTTTGGACAAAAACTGGGGCTGTGGTGGCTGCACAGAGGTGGAAATGGTTGCTGGTGATGTTGGCTTGGTGGGGGCAGCACCGGCTGGTACTGTTCCTGCGTGAACAGTACCGAAAATGGCAGAAACGGGACTGCAGAACCAGAAACGTGAAGAAGAAGAGGAAAATTCTGGGGAAAATATGGCTGAATGGGTCTGCACGAGAGAGAGAGAGAGAGAAGACTATCTGGTCAAATGGGTCAAAGATAGCTTAGTGGAGTCCAAGTGTCACAATCTAGGCCCATTGGACAATTTTGCCCCTAATCCAAGGGCCCAAATTTGATCCAATCCAATAATTTAGGGGTAGAATGGTCATTTGCTCTTAACCATGGTTGACCAGACCTGAGTTAAGCCTAACTCACCTTGGTTAATCCCAAAATTAAATCCAATTTTCGGAATTAATCAAAAATGGCCTAGGGGCATTTTCGTAATTTTCCGATCCCGAACCGAAATTCCAATTTTTGCACATACGTGTTCCATATATGCGTGGCCAACATAATATGGCGTCGGAATCGCGAAATTCATCGCGCAAGCCCTCGAAAATCCACGTCAAAGTCTCGGGAATAAAATAATATTATTTTTCCAATTTTTGTCGAAATTCCAATTTTTGGCCAAAACCACTCTAAATGTGCGTGGCCACCCCAAAATGACCTTGGCCGCGAAAAATAACCTCAAACGGCCTCCGAATCCAGCCTCGGTGCCCACAGGGGCAAAACCGTAATTTTTCCGGCCCCGGACCGAAATCCATTTTTTTGCAGAAATGGGTGGCCCCAAGGTTGGCCAAGCCAAAAACGTCATCGGCCATCCAAAATTGTCACTTTCAAAATTCTCGATTCCCGGGCCCGAATTCCAAGAAATGACTAAAATCGAACAATCGCGACTTTAGCTTATCTCTGGCTAACGGGTGGCTCATTGGAATTACGCGCTCTCGACCCGTGACCGACACTAAGTCAAATCACGTTTAAGTTTGCTCGAACCAAGACGACCTCGATTGTCATATAATTGCGAGGGTCTGTCACTAGTGCCCTTTGGACACGATCAATCAAATAGATCGGTCTCGGTTGGCTCAAAACATTTCCTCGTCAATCGATATGGTCGAAGTCGAACCCAGGTCGAGTTCTTTGGTCGTGCGAACTCAATCCCGTAACGGCCTTACCCCTAAGGTTAGCATCCCGTGAATGCGCATTTCCGGGTGAGATTTCACTACAAGTGCATTGGCCAAAATATTCATTTCATAGATCCCGGGAAAAGGATCGAAAATTCAGACTGTTACAAGTTTGGTCCTGAAAACCCATTTTACTTCAGTCACCTTCCTATCTTCAGGCCTCTCCACTAGTTCCCATGTCTGGTTCTTTTCTATCATAGCCAACTCTTCCTTCATTGCATTCATCCACCTCTGATCACTTTTAGCTTCCTCATAACTTGCAGGTTCCAAAATAGCCACACTGCACCTCTGATATATATCAGTCAGAGATCTGGTACCTCTAACTGGAACATCATCCACCAGCTCGTCAGGTTCAGTGAGACCTCATTATGCTTGCCTTGTGGCTCATATGTCCAGTCCCACTGCTCATCTTCCAGGAACTGAACATCCCTGCTAGTGATCACCTCCCCTATCTGTGGTTGATAGATCCTGTAGGCTTTTGACACTAAACTATAACTAACAAAGATCCTAGGTTCAGCTTTCTCTCCCGGCTTGTCTCTCTTGACCTGTGGAATATGAGAAAAACACAGACAGCCAAACACCTTCAAATTTCTTAGAATTGGCTTGTCACCAAACCAAGCTTCAAAGGGTGTCTTCTTCTCCAATACCCTCGTAGCCAATCTATTTAGCAGAAAAACTGCTGTGTTTGCTGCTTCTACCCAAAATTCTTTTGGTAGATTCTTCTCATGCAGTAGACACCTAGTCATCTCCATAATGGTTCTATTCTTCCTCTCACTAACTCCATGTTGCTGTAGAGAGTAAGGAGCAGTAAGCTAATGCTCAATTCCAGCCTCTTCACAGAAAAAGTTAAACCTCTGTGAAGTGTATTCTATTCCATTATCAGATCTGATGACCTCAATCTTGCAGCCACTTTGGTTCTCAACCCATCTTTTAAACTTCAGAAATACCTCAGCAACTTCTGACTTTTGCTTCATGAAGTAAACCCAGCATATTCTGGTATAATCATCAATGAAAATAATGAAATACCTGCTGCCATTTAGTGAAGGAGTCACTTGTCAACCACAGAGATCTGTATGAATCAGCTGCAGCTTCTCTGTAGCTCTCCAAGTGGATTCCTTGAAGGGAAGTCTTGTCTGCTTGCCCAGCAAACAAGCCTTGCACCTTGTGATCTGCTCCTCCAAGCTTGGTAACCTAGTTGCCATTTCATTCCTCTGTATGAACAGCAAGCCTTTTGTGATGAAAGTGCCCCAACCTCTTGTGCCATATCTCTGAATCACTGCCTGACACTTAAATGCCACCTGCTCCTTCTCGAGAGGATTTAGAGAAAAACTCTTCTATTGCATCTTTATCTTGAACAGCTCCTGACCACTGGAGTCAAAGATCAAACACTTCCCCTCCCCTCTTCAAATATCAAATTAAATCCCTTTTCTACCAACTGCCCCACACTTAGCAAATTCTAATCAATCTCAGGCACATACATCACATTAGAAACTAGCTTAGTTCCAGCACAACTCTCTATTGCTACAATCCCTTTACCTTTCACTTCTAAGTACTCCCCATTCCCGATCCTCACGCTTGACTTCAATGACTTGTCAAGGTCTATAAATAGATTTTCATCACTTGTCATGTGATTTGTGCAACCACTATCAACAAGCCAACTGTCACATGAAGTACTAGAGGAGAAACAAGAGGCAACAAACAGTTGATCTACCTCTTGCTGGACTGCAGCATGTGCCTCACCTTGCTACCGATCTCCATTCTCTTTGCAGAACTTCTCAATGTGTCCAAGCTTATGACATTTTCTGCACCTTACATATGGCCTCTTCTAACACCTAAAGTGTGGATGATTCTGTTTTCCACAGTGCTGACATGAGGAATACCTTCTCCAATTGTTCTTGGAGTTGCCTGCACTGTTCTCTCCTGCAGCAGCTTCTGAACCACTACTGCCATTCCCTTTCTTCCCTTTCTTCCCTTTCCACTTCTTGCCTTTCCCTCCTACATTCTGCTGTTCTTTGGCCTGCAAAGCTCCTTCTGTACTTCCTTCCAGCCTCATTAACCTCCTCTGCTCTTGTGCTTGCAGGCACTTAGCAATTCTGCCAACTTGATCTGAGACAAATCCTTGGTATTCTCCAAAGAGGCAATGGTTGCCTCAAACCTTTCGAGCAAGGAGACAAGAATCTTCTGCACTAGCCTATTATCAGAGAGGTCAGTGCCTAGAACTCTTGCCTGATTTGCAATGCTTATCAACTTATCAGAATACTCCTTAATTGTCTCAGACTCCTTCATCTGCAGTCTCTCGAATTCTGTGATCAGATTTAGCCCCTTCATGCTTATGATCCTCTCATCTCCATGAAACTCAGCTTTGAGGAAGTCCCAGATAGCTTTGGCTGATTCACAAGCCATAATTCTGCTGAAAATGGCAAGTGAGATAGCAACATATAAACAAGACTTTGCCTTTGCTTTCCTTGTTGTCCTCTCCTTGTGATACTTGATCTGATTAATGGTTGGATTGTCAGGAAGGGGAGCAACTTCATAATCTTGTTCCACAACTTCCCAAAAATCACAACCCTCTAGATAGGCTCGCATTCTCAATGCCCAGGCTTGATAATTTTCTCCATCAAACACTGGTGGAGCCATTGCTGAAAAACCACTCGATCCTGCCTCCATCTTGCCTTCAGCTTCTATGGATGCAGACACACCTCTCAATCAATCTCACAAGTCACTCACAGCCCTTTAAGATCAAGAATGCTCTGATACCAATGTTGTTTTTTCAAAGAATAGAAGGAGAATTGACAGCAAAAGCTTTATTTTTTGCAGCAAAACTGTATTATGCAACAAGACATAATGTATTGGAAGGGAACTTCTCTTCTTTATTCAAAAAATTGAAATTGCTTAAATACAGACTAAAGCTTTTCCATAAACACACATTGCCCACTAACTAACAGCTTGCTTGGTCCACAAAACCAACAACAAACTAACAGAATAGTCAAAAAACATGCAGCTAAACACTCCTACAAAATAGGATTGATCAAGTAAAAATAACGACTTATTAACTCCTAGAAAATAGGGCATCAGCAAACTGACTTAACAGAAAATAGATAATGCAGCCTTGATACATCAACAAATACATTGTTTCTATTGATGAATGATCAAAATTATTCATTGTTTCTCTTACGCCTTTATATTTTGTTACTTGAAGCATTATGGATGATTCACATGCAAGGGAAAATCATGAATAAGAGGAAAGGAATATTGGGATCTTGTCTTAATCACTAGAGCTGCAATTTGTTATCGAGTAATGTACCTTTGTAAACAACCTTGCATGACCTAAACATATAGTGGTTATGCATGGTTGAAAGAGTTGATGGACAGAGATGCTAATCCGATAAGGTGCTATAGTATGTTTAGAATGCATAGTTTGTATTTAATAATTTAAGAATGACTTAGTAACATGCTATGGTCTTGAAGGATCTGGGAATACTGATGTTGTAGAAATGGTTGGTATGTTTCTTCATATTTTGGGACATAATATAGGTAACAGGTTAGCACAGAACGCTAGGGATAAGTAGGCATTTTAGCTTAGTTTTAGATAAAATATGTGATATGGGAAAAGAGTTGATCCAACTAATCAATCGACAATATAGGGAAGTTTCAAAGGAGATCAACAAAAGACTGACGATTTTATCCATATTTTAAGGATTGCATTAGGGCTATTAATGGTACACATATCCCAGAAAAGGTACCTATGTACGATCAAATTCGTTTTTTGGTCGAAAAGGAACAACGACTTAAAATGTGTTAGCCATATGGAATTTTAATATGGAATTTGTTTATGTTTGGGCCGGTTGGGAGAAACAAGCTAATGATACCGATATCTTCTATGAATCCATTGGAAGTTAGGATGCACATTTTCCCCGTCCTCCTCCAGGTTCGTCATTTAATGGTTTAAGTACATCCATGTATCTATGTGGCATATTTTGATTAAATTTACAATATATTTGTGTAGGTAAATATTACTTATTAGATTCTGGATATCCAAATCCCATGGGTTATTTAGGGCCATATAAAGAAGTCATATATCATTTGCCAGAGTTTCGAGAAGGTCCTTCACCTACGGGTTATCGAAAAGTGTTCAATCATGCTCTTTCATCGCTATGCTCAGCATTTAAGCAAGCCTTTGGCGTATTACAATAGAAGTGGGGGATTCTAACTCATATGTCAAGTTATTCGTATGAAAAGCAAGTGCAAATTGTCGTAGGAACACTGGCTTTAGACAATTATATATGAAGAAATACCGTGACTAATACGAATTTTGAACAAGTAGAATTGGATCCCGATAATGGATATTCAGTTGACCATGATGATGCAAATGAAGGGGCGAGTGCTTCAAATTTTTCTTTTTCAATTTTAAAAATATTAAAATTAAAAAACTTAATTTGGTCACACCAAAGATTTTTCCAAATATATGTTTACCAAACAGTCTTGCATTTCCCTAAAGCACTTTTCAGTTATAATTTACTAAATAGTTTTGCATTTTTTCAAAGCCCTTTAGGCTAAATGCCTTTGCATTTAGTCAAAGGATTTCCCCAAATGCCGAACCAAATGTGGTCTTTCTCTGTCAAGCCCGCCAACCTCTCTCAACTCTCAATCTCTCGCCGATCTCCCTCTTTCTTTCCCAATGGCTTTGACCACTTGCCTCGTTTCTTTGTTAGATCTAAAAATCTCTCCCTCATTTCCCTCTTTTTTTTTCCAATGGCCTTGACCACTTGCCTTCCTTGAAGTGATCGAAGATGGCAAGCAACCATGTCAATTCCATGCTATTTCGGTCAAAGAAAGGTTGAATCCGCAAGTAGCCAAAGAGAGGAGGGAGGTTGGATGGTGATGTAGTGGCTGGAGGTTGAAGGTGAGGGAAGTGGTGGCTGGCAAGGGGAGGAGCTAAAGCTACCAGTAGTGACACTGCCGGTGGATTGGAGGTGATGCCTCGGAATCGTCGGCGGAGCCAAGAGAACTAGCTTCCGAGAGAGAGAGAGAGAGAGAGAGAGAGAGAGAGAGAGAGAGAGAGAGAGAGAGAGAGAGAGAGAGAGCATCAGGTCTCTATGTCGAGAAAATATTACGTGTAACAGTGATGCCACGTCACAGTTGCACAAGCCCACTCAGCGAGCAACACGTGTTGCTTAGCGGGCCCACCTGTTAGAAAAACAAACTCTCGCAACTCTCTTCTCTCTCTTCACTCTCTCTCTCTCTCTCTCTCTCTCTCTCTCTCTCTCTCACCTCCACCTTTTAATCTTTTCTATTTAACCTAAGTTTTAATTTGGAGTCGTCGTTAGTCATTATTGGTAGGTTGACTAGAAACCTAATCGAGGTATGGGAGAAATACCACGATTTTGCGAACCAGAGATTACATAGGTAAGAGGACTTGGCTATGCTAATGATCCCAAATTGAGATCTCTAATGCCTTTTTGGTACCTAAAACGATACAAAGTGTCTAACGTGTCACGAGAGTTCGCAAGACCTATCCACTAATTCTAACCGTTCTAATTAGGAGAAATCAATCAATCAATGATTAAATACACAATCAATTTCAATCACACAAAAACAATCCTAAAATGGTCTCTAAAATGTGAAATCAATCAAAACATCCAATGCCTAATGAAGCCCTAATGGCTTATTCATTCAATAAATTGTGTTGTTTTAGGGGTTTTTAGGGGTTGAGACCCTTTTTAACTCCTAAACTGAGGAACTTCTAAAAATACCACTTAGGCACTTCAAAAAATTCAAATTTCACTCAAATTGGGTAGCCATAGGATTTCTAAGTCATTCTGTGAATTTTTGAAACTTTTGATTTTTTATTTGTTTTGATTTTTTAAAAAGTTTTTCAGAGAATTTCCACTTTCCCGAAATCTATTTTTTTACATTTTTTGAAAAAAAATTTATGAATTTTTTTTCGAAAATTTTTAATTCATTTTTTTTGTGAATTTGGGAATTTTGCAAATTTTTATGGGTTTTCTGGAATTTTTTAAAAAAATTTAAGATATTTTGAATTTTCTAATTTTTTAAAGATTTTTCTGATTTTCCAAAAATTTTATGATTTTCTAATTTTTCTATTTTTAGAATTTTTCTGAATTTTCTAATTTTTATGATTTATTATTATTATTATTATTATTATTATTATTATTATTATTATTTTATTTTTGAATTTTCCCACCAAGATTAAACCGGACCGATTCAAACCGATCTGACCAAGTGAGATCGGCTTGAACCGGTCTGGTCGTCCTCGGCAGGTTCGGTGCCAAAACGGTGTTGTTTCCCTTTTCTTCTCTTCGGCATTTCGCCGAACAGGTGGTGAGCATGATACTAATCTTATTGTTTTCAAGACCACCGGTTCGAGTTTAGTTCCGATGTCCTTCCGGCGAGTTTCTGACCACCTTTTCAAGCTCTACACTAACCTCTCATTATCCCCTAACCAACTGACTTCACCGGTTCATAGCCGAACCACCGCCGGCCGGTGAAAAATCAATCTAAAAAAACATAACCTAGAACTAACTAAAACAAACTTTTCTAGACTTCAAATCATCACACAATCTGCCCTAGCCATTTCTATCGCTCAAATCCATCATCAAAGCATCAAACAAAGTCAGAAACTACTAACTTGAGTAGCCATTGGCCACAGGAGGCACTCCGGCGAGGTTCGAGAGCTCCGGCGAGGGGGTTTCATGGTGGCCGACTCAGTTTATGCATAATCCAATCCAAGTTTTGCAACAAACAATGAAAAATATGCTCAGAAACATATTTTAGACATCAATAAACTCAAAATCACGAAGAAAATTACATGATCAAACATGATGGAGCTCCAACACATATTCTAGATTTTTTGTTAACCCGTGATCATGATCAAACTTTACATTCTTCAATGGAGGTCAAAATGGAAATTCCAAGCTAGATGAAGCCTTCAAGACGATTCTCTGGAACTTGTACTTCAAGGTCACGATCGCCATTTCGCCTGGAAAGTCTACAATCCACCGGATGAGACCGATTTACAAGGCTTCGCAATCAGCTTTGTTTCAGGTCTTCCGGTGAGGAGATTCACCGTCAGGATCGATTTGCCGGCGCTTTTCCGTCGGAAAAACGGAAAAGCGCCAATCACTCGATGTCAGGGAATCTCAACTCACACTCTCTCTCAATCTCTCTCCTTTTCTCTCTAGTTTTCTCTCTCTTTCTCTCTCGGGAATATTGTCGAATAGGTTCTGTCCTTGGATAATGATTTTTTCTCTTTTTCTAGCTCGATTTCCCGCTGGATTCTCACTCCAACCGACCTCAGAGTTTGTTGTGATGAATAACCGATAACAGGTGGAGATTCTCCAACTGTTAAATTCGTTTATCACGTGCTCAATTAGCCTAGGTAAATCGGTGAAGACGTGGGTTGAAGAAGATATTTTTCTTCTTTTCCAAGTGTGGGCCGAGTCGGGTAAAGAAGAAGACCACCCGGGTTGGTATAAATTCGCAAATTAAGCCTGATTTTGACCTAATTTTGTAAATTTAACCCCAAAATTGGATTCCTCAACACATTTTGCATCCAAATATGAGATTTGTACTAATTTTTGTCACAATTTAATCAAAAAAATTCCCAAATTTGAATTTCGATCAATAGGGTTTTTGTTCAATTCAGTATCCAAATGACCTAATTGAGCAAAATTGATGCCAAAATTGAATTACCCATGGCTTATTAACCCTAGGGAAGGTATGGGTCTTGATCGAAAATTTCAAATTGAATGAGATTCTCAATTTGGGTCTTAAAATCCCTAATTTTCAATTAATTTTTGGGGCTTTTCAATTATTTTGTTAAATTGTGAAATTGGACTGACCAATATGCAATTCAAGTCCGAGAATCAATTGTTGTGAAGACACTATGGCCTAAAAATGACTCAATTGAATTTTTAGTTCAATTAGGGTATACATTTACCCAATTTTGGGAAAAACATATTCCCAACTAAATTTTTCCAAAATTGAAGCTGCAGTGATGAAATTGGAATTAAAAGAACGCTAATGGCTATTTTTGTGGAATTTTTTAGTTCCATTTGGTATTTTTTTTTATTTTTCACTCATTTTGGCCAAAAGAAAATAAGAAAAAATTTACGAAAATTCTAAAAAATTGGTTTAGAAATAGGTTCATAAGGATGGTCAAGGTTCCTAATCCTAATTTTGTGAGTTTTAGGAAATTTTGAAAAATGGGCCAAAAATCAAGTGTTAACACCCTAGAAGTCAACAATCTTTGCTACACAGCTCGAGCTAGACACCATCTAGGCCGAGCTCCGATTGCTCCTTTGTGGTCGACCTCAAATCTGGCTATCGGGCTCTGCTCATAGTGGGGAGCTCGAACGTAGATGTAAGAGTTGAGCTCTACCACACGTCGAGCTCAATCCCATATATATGTGCTTGAGCTCCGCCAAAGCGTCGAGCTCGATCCCGAACTGCAATTTTGCATCATCGAGAGATACACGGAAGCAGTTGCTACCTTGGCTTGCTTTGAGTTCAAACGAAGCTCCCAAAGTATTGCCCCGTGTCAAATAGACAATCCTCGAGCTGCTTAGCATTCCGATACTCGAATAAGCATTTGGTGTGGCACCTTCACGTTACCCATCTCAAAGTGCACTACCCACGGCTTGCGTCAATACAACCATTTGCGCAGTTAGTCGTGTTATCTCCTCGCGTAGTCCGCGCATAGTCTTTGGTGGACATCATCCTTAAGAATACCCGTTTGATCACTCATCGCATGAGGTGATCCCTCAGTGAACTCGATCTGCTCATCGAGTTCCGTGAATGATTTCCCTAGGCCATTTAGGAAAATTCAACTTAGTCTCCTAATCCTTAATCCGTTTTCGATCTTTGGTCACGACCACGATTCCAAAGTCTTTCGCCATAACTTAACTCTAATATCAAATGTCATGGTTCGAGCCGTGGCCCAGCTCAAAGGATCATGTGGCAGTCACGGGTAGTATGCTAGTTGATAGACCTGTCAAACGGATGGATCGGGTTGGATTTGGGTCGGGTCATAAATGGTCCGACCCAAATTGACCCATTAACCCGTTTATGACCTATTTATTTATAATGTAATTATCCCGACCCATACCCAACTCATACCCAACCCGACCCATATTGCTAAAACACTTCTATATTTAACTCAATATAGGAAAACTTATTTCTTATGACTTTTTTTAAAAATTATACTACTAAAACATTTTCATACAATGCAATTTTTAATTTTTTAAATTTTAATATTTTTTAAATTTTTTAAAAATCCAATTTATAATTATTTTTAATTTTTCCTTTATTTTTGGCTGGTGGCCGGCCACAACGACAGTCGGCGTCCGGCCATGGGCGAGGACGAGCTCGCCGGAGGCCGGTGAAGCTCGAGCTCGCTGATCTAACGAGGCCAAGGCCTCGCCAGCCTCAAACGAGCCTCGAGCTTGAGTCTCGCCAGATCGGCGAGGCCTCGGGCTCGCTGGATTTGGCGAGGTCGAGCTCGACCTCGCTTAAGGTCGGCAAGGCCAAGGCCTCGCCAGATCGGCGACCTTGAGTCTCGCCAGATCACCCGATTCCGGCGAGGTCGAGCTCACCCGATTCCGGCGAGCCCGAGGCCTCGCCGACCTGTGGCGAGGTCGTTCCTCCCTTGTGGCCTGTGGCCAGTCGCCAGCCGTCGACCGAAAAGAGAAAGAAAAAAATAAAATAAAAAAGAAAAATAAAAAAATTCAATTTTTTAAAAACATATTTTTATAAAAAGGGGGCGGGCTTAATGAGTGGGTTGGAAATGGGTTCCACACTCAATCCATTAAGACCTATTTATGATAGGCTTAAAACTTTAAGACTCATCTAAGATGGGCTCTTCAAAATTATATTGATCCATTTATTTTTTAAAATGGTCATATATGAGTTTTAAGACCCATTTAAGAGGTCTACTAGCCGACTTAGGTGAGCAATGCTCCGATGTTAAGGCACACGCAGTTCGCAAGATTGTTTGTGAAAAAGAAAGGATGAAAACAGTTAATAAGAACATATCCTACTAAGGTTTATTAATCAACGGTGCCAGCAATAAATATAAAGGGACTATCGGAATAGTAGAGTTTGAGTAGTTGAACTCACTAAAGAGCTTTTAGATATTATCTATTCTAATATGAGTAGACATTACAGTTGCTTTAGATGGCACGATGTAGAAATTACGAAAAATAATAACAATATGTAATGTCTCATATACCGTACACGTACGATATGTTGACGTGTGGTCAACCAAGCGGCCATGGACAATATGCTGTGGACAAACCCGGATCAAGGATCTCACAAAGGGCTTGTGACAATTTGCCATGCAACAAACAGTGATGAAATGTCACCATTGGTCCCTCTATTTTTTTTCGAAAATATTCAAACCATCTCTAACCTTTTTTTTTTGGTTTAGAACTATCCCTATACTTTTAAAAATGTGCCATCCTTAGTCATTCCATTATAATTTTTCTATTGTCAGTTGATTTTTGAACAACTAGATTATTGAGATTGGTGTCGAAGTACACGTATTCCCCTGCATCAGCCAACATAAGAATTTGAGAGAGAGAGAGATTTGGAGCTCGGAGCCGTAGCAGTAGAGCATATTTGAGGTCCCAGCCATGCCGCTCAAGCTTCGTTGAGCTCAAACATGGCCCCTGCAATTTTGCTGAGCTCAGCCATGGTTATTTGAGCTTCATCCGGTTCGACCGTGAGTCATGGCGGTTGAAGCTTCTTCAAGCTCATGACCATGGCTACTCAAGCTCAGCAATGGCCGCTAGAGCTTGTTCAGGGTCATGGCCATGGTCACTCGAGTTTCGTCAAACTCAGTCGTAGCCACTAGAGCTTTTTCGAGTTCGTGGTTATGGCGCTCAAGCTTCAATGAATTTGGTCATGGTTGTTTGAGCTTTCTCTAGCTTGACCATGACTGCTTGAGCTTCATCAAGCTCGTGGTCATAGCTATTCGAGCTTCTTCGAGCTTGTGGTCATGATCACTTGTTTTATTTGCTTGAACTATAGGAAACGAAAATCTCGGAATTTTGCTCACAATACTATAATTATAAAAGGAATTTTCTAATCAAAGTTTTTCGCCACATCCAGACTCACAACAAGGAAGAACAATGCTTTGACAAATCTCTGGAAAAACATGCAAGAAGTCATATAGACATGTTCTCAAAGTATATAACGGTCCAACTCAGCCTCCAAAATTGAAAAAATAGATAGAGAACGAGGTACAAAAAGCAAGCACTAACATTTGTTGCAGCCATCGTCAGCACATTTCCACAAGACTTTAACTTAGGCCCGACAAAATGGGTCATGTACCCATTTTATAACTCAGTTTTAGAAATCCAAATTTATTTGGATAATTCACTTTTTCCTAAAATGGGCTAGAGAACGGATAAAGCCCAAAAAAAACATGTCAACTGACCCATATTTTCAACCATATTTTCTAAACCACCCATCCACCCACGAACGACCCACTCCACTCCACTGCGCGCCAACGCACGCTTTGCTCGCATCTACGCTTCACTGCTGGCCGCTCATCGCACTTCGCCTCTTGCCGTGCTTCGCTTCATCTCCGTTTCCCTCTTCTTCACCATAGAGAAAAAAAACTCACTTCACTTCATCAGAGCTAGACATGGCCACGGGCCGATTTTGGCCCGGAACCGACCCGGGTCAAACCCGGGACTGGCCCGTTGACCGGGCCCGCGGTTCGGAACTGGCCCGTGGCCTACGGGCCCAGTTCCGATTCCAATAATTTTGGAACCGGCCCGGAAACGGCGGTTCCGGGCCCGGTTAAAAAAAAAAAAAACTGCTGCTGCAGCCCCACTTTCCCACCCCCACCCACGTCCACCTCCTCCAGTCCTCCTCCACCAAATCCCTCTTTCCCCCCTCTCCCTTGCGCCTCCTCCGGTCCTCCTCTTTTCTCCTTTGCCCGCCCCCCGTCTTCCTAGATTTGACCCCCGCCGCTGTCACCCCCGCCCATGGCCACAGCCGCCGACGCCGACGCCCCCTCCTCCTCCCCCCTCACTATCCTGTGCCTCCTCCCTTTTTCTCCTCCGCCCGCCCCCCGTCTCCCCAGATTTGACCCCCGCCGCCACCGCCGCCGCCCATGGCCGCAGCTGCCGACGCCAACGCCCCCTCCTCCTCCCCTCCTCCCGACCCCGCCCAGCCCTCGGAGGAGGAGAACCCCCCGCTCCTCCTCCCCGTCCCCGTCCCCCTCCTTCTCCCCCTCGCCACTGCCCCCGTCTCCCGCTTCATCTCCTCGCCGCCTTGAACCCCGCCTCCGCCACCGTGGCCAAGGCCGCGAAGCCTGAGCGACGACCGACGGAGAACCAGGCCTGCAATTATTATTTTATAATTTATTTTATTAATTTTTAAATTACGAACCGGAACAGGCCAGAACCGACCCGGAACCACCGGTTCATACATGGCCACGAACCGGAACCGCCGATTCCTGAACCATGGCCATGATTCAGAGCTAGCACTAGGGTTTCGGCATGTTCACGAAGGGAAGGTGTTTGTTAAGATTTTCGTGGTTTTTCTTGGGGGGTTTTTTGTGTTCGTGTGTACTCGTTGAGTTTGTGATTTTTCGTCGTCATTTCCTAATACCAAGCGGCTCTGTTCCCAAATTCAAGTTCCACAAAAATTGCTCTGTAAGTCTAACATTGCACTTTGTGGATCGACAAAAACTTACTAGAACTTCCAATCTCAGCCCTGACGGCTGGACCTCCACTGACCTCCGAGAGCCATGACCGCGCCAGCTTCATCAAGCCCAACCATGGCGGCTCCCGGCCGGCCATGCCAGTGTCAAGCTCGGGCATGGCCGCTCGAAGTTTTGCATCGGTGGGAGATATCAAATTTTGTGGGTCTTGATTTGGCTCACGTGAGGTTTCAAGTTAAAAAGGAGAAATAGAACACGGTGACGATCACCACCAACATGGTGATTGGAAGAGAGAAAGAGCCAACATCCAAAAAAAAAAAAAATAAACAATTCAAAAGTCAACAAGTTTAGAGTCGCGTTAAATCACGTCCCCTGATTTCTATCGATATCAACGCCACGTCATCAGATATTTGACTATTTTATCGTGCAGGACGATCACCGGCGGCGACACTTCTTAAAAAGAAAAATAAGGTAGATTCCTTACAAAAGTTGACGGTACGACATCATTAACCGAAAGAACAATACCTATCCGGTCCCTCAATCATACTACTACTCTCTCTCTCTCTCTCTCTCTCTTTCCTCCGTGATCTCTATCGCCCCCGACAGAAGCAGGCCAATCCCTGTTCCATTTCGCCCGCGCGAGAGCGGCGAGAGATCTCCCCCCTGATGGCCCCTCACGGCGACGGATCGGGCGCTGCGGAGGAAACCGCGGCCGCCGGAGCCGAGGAGCGCCCTGTCTCGACCGTCGTCGTCGTGATCGGTACCTCGTTCGTTTCCCCTTTTCGTTGCTGCCCGTGGGAATCCGTTTCGTGCTGGGTAATTGATGGCGTGTTGCTTTCTTGGGTGTTTCTTCCTTTGGTTGGATTTTCGGGTGGGTGTGTGGGGGGGCGTGCGCAGCTATGCAGACTGAAGCGCTTCCGGTGGTCAACAGGTTCCAGCTCGTCGAGGATCGAGAGTCCTTGTGAGTTTCTTGATTAGCTGCTGGTTTTTGCCGCTTGTTCAGTGCGCTTTTTTTTCTTTTCGATCAATAGTGGGCGTTCAGGAGTTGTGGTGTTACTGTCGAATGCTGTTTAAGGTGTGGAAAATGTTGGGATTTCGTTTCTGTCGCTTCTGTATTCGACTATTTGCCACTGTGAGTTTTTGGGTCGTTTAACGTTACCTGTCGATTCGGGCCTGGTTTATGGTTGAGGCTGAAAAGCAAAGCATCTCAAGGGAATTAGAGAATGGAAAAGGCAAAACCTTTTGCCGGGCGTCGGGATGATCAGAAACTAACCTGCAAGTATATGGTCTTTTTATCTCTCTGCTTGGAGTAATATGGTATGGGCGATTCTTGAGTCGTTCAAGAGATTGATTTTGGATCTTTTGAGTTGCTAAGTTTTCAAGTTCTCTTTATTTGGGGCATTACTTGCTTGCTTGATATTTTGCATTAAGTTTGATATGTGGATCCGACACGCTACAGGTTCCCTAAGGGCGTCCCTTGGGTTCGTTACCATGGTACTTACAAAGACTTGAATATAAATTTGATCTGGCCAGGAAAAGATCCTTCATTTGGTACGTAGTTTATTTGTGTTCCTAAAAAAGAAATCGTTTTACTTGCAAAAAGTAATTTGACTTGAGGGACTTTTGCTTTGTAATACTTGCTTATAGTATATATCTTTTTGTGTTTGATACATTGTAATGCTGACAGGGGTCGACAGTGTTGGCACAATTTCTGCATCCCTGGTGACTTATGCTTCTGTTCAGGCATTGCAGCCTGACCTAATCATAAATGCCGGTACCGCTGGTGGCTTCAAGGTTTTTTTTTTTGCTTTGAAGGAGTTGTAAATGGTTGTAGCATCCTATTCATATTAGTCCAAAGTGACTGGGTTTGCAATTCATTGGTGTTGGTACAGTCCAGCCAAAATATGGTTTCATTTATTTGGCTTTCCCCTCTTTACCTATTTAGACATCTAGGTGTTGGAAGAAGGCCACTAAGAATTTAATTGTATAGCATGTATGAATTCCAGTTTAGACCTAAATTGTTTTCTTCTGAACTTTTCCTCAGCTCAGAGTTTACATTTCCAATAGCATGCAGCGTACTAATTCGTGTTAATTCCCATTTGCCACAGGCTAAAGGAGCAAGCATCAGCGATGTGTTTCTGGCATCTGAGGTTGCTTTCCACGATAGAAGAATACCTATCCCTGTAAGTCATTTTTCATTATACTGGCGTCATGTTTGTTATGTTTAATTGATAAAATGCTTATTTGGATCTCATTTTCTAGCATTTGACATTCTGCTGGTGCTGACAAAATGGTGTCAGTTGTGTGACAGCGCATAGTATTAGGCTGTTTATCAATGTTTCTTTCCTTGTACAGCGTAGTGTCTTTGAGTATGTAGTAGGTCCTAATGTCAAAAAGACAAGCGTGAGCTGTTTATTCAGTTGCTTTTCTGCCTTACGTGCCTTACCTCTTGTTTCCTGATTTTTTTTTTTTTGGTAAGGTAATTGTTTCCTGATTTTTTTGCTTAGTAAATGCAAATTTTCTCGTGTGCATATATTCCCTTTCTGTCTTGGTGCTAGGTCCATGAACATTCATGCTGATATGAATACTAGCTTTTTTCTTGGTCAGAAACATATAGTTCAAGCTGCGTTTCTGCCTCCAATGTCTTCTGCAGGTTTTTGATCTGTATGGAGTTGGGTTGCGACAGGCATTCTCAACACCAAATCTTGTAAAAGAGCTCAACTTGAAGGTAATTCCATGCCTTGATTGATAGACATCTCTTGCTTAAAACCTCAGAACCATTTGCTTGGTGAATATATTTTTCTTATCTTAATTGAGTTTGTCTGGACTTTTTGAATCATAAAAGGAAATGGCCCAGCTAACTGGATGGCCAAGCCAGAGAAAGTTTTGTTGTGAATACTATTTTTTCTGAGATAACCCGTGGTTAGTTTTTTTTTTTTTTTTCTTTTTTTGGGGGGGTGTCAGCCTTTGACAAAGTAAGCTTTTCCATGTTACATTTTTTTTTCTTTCAATCAACTGTAGTTCGCTGTTGATGTTGATCAGAGGTTGACAGTGAAGAGGAAAATGTCAAGTTGATCAAGTTACTGGAAATCACCTTGAGGACTATTTTTTTGGCAGTTTTCCGTGGGTCCTACTACTTAATTTTTGCAAAAGTATCTCCTTACTGTTTCTTGGAATATTGTCTAATGTCTAGACACAGGAGGTGTCACCTACTTGATGCTCCCTAGGCCTGTGGTTCTATGATTAGTAGCTTCGCTAATGGTGCTTCTACAATACTCGTAGTGCAAGTCCCTCAGGATGGGTTTGTTGGCGAAACAAGACATTCTTCACCCTATATCCTTACTTTCTGGTGGGCCTGGAGGCTGCTTTACCAACCAGGGCATTTCTATTTCTGCATGAATGCTTAATGAGGCATTTTTTCTTGCTAGACTAGATAATATCGTTAGCTGTATGTGAGTTTAACTTTTGGATTCTTCTATCTTTAAATGTTATTTGGCTAATTTAGAGCTATTCGTTAACTTACTCTTTTCTCAAAAGTAGAGTTATTATAATTGTATCCCTCATAGTCAAGATTTCTTTGCATTCACTTGCACAATATGGTAAATCCTGCTTCTCTTTCCTTTGTTAAGCAGTATGCAACTGTGAAGATCATCTAGTTTCTGTGCTCCATAATGCATTTGACTTTTGAAACGAACTTGCATCAGAGATGCTGCACGTATATGGTCTTATCTCTGTTTCTTGTGGGTTATATCAGAGTAGAGTCAGCTTCATTAATTTTCTGCGTCTTTCAGGTTGGCAAGCTGTCGACTGGAGACTCTCTGGACATGTCCCAACATGATGAAGCATCAATTTTTGCAAATGACGCAACAATCAAAGATATGGAGGTATTCTTTTATTCCCTTTCTATCTGTCTACACATGAATGGATAGCTAAGAGTTGCTACCAACTAAACTTATGTAAGCACATGCTATTAATTTCTGACATATAGCATGGCAATTGTCTTAGAGTTGACCATTTTGGTTTTGGTTTATGATTATATGTCATTCTATAAAGATGTTTTTGCTGTTGTGTACCCGTGACCAACATCACATCAGAATCGTTTGTAATTTTTTTTTTTTCAATCTGTTAATTTCTTGTAGGCCTGGCATCTTGCTAACAGTTTTAACCAACGTTTGAAAATGTAGGGTGCAGCTGTTGCTTATGTAGCCGATATCTTGAAAGTTCCTGCAATATTTGTAAAAGCAGTGACCGACATCGTGGACGGTGACAAACCGACCGCGGAGGAATTCTTGCAAAATTTGGCGGCGGTTACTGCCACCCTCGATCAGACAGTCTCTCAAGTTGTCGAATTCATCAACGGGAAGTGCCTTTCTGAGCTCTGAGGCATCGATCAATGTAGAACTTATCGATTTGTATGTAGATGACATTAACGTGCGCCCATTGGAATTCAGCTTCATACAGCTATGCAAGTTGAGGGGGACTGAGGACGGTGTGCGCAGGATATGTACTACTAGATGCTTCATGTTTGACATGACGGACTTGATTTTTTCGCGAGACCCATGGAATCATTTGTACGTCAAAATCTTCCTGGTCGATCGAATCATTTGCTATACACCGGGCGGACTTATTGTCTTGAATCATCTGTACAAGTTGCATTTGGGACATTTATGTGGTTTCGGTTGCAGTAATGTTTAAAATGACAACAGTCATATGGGGTTATGACAGTAATCATGTTCTTCAGTTTAAGCAATGGAATCGCCCGCCCGGCTTTGACATTCCCTTTTCTTGATTGACCCCTTTCGGACTTTGTCCTGCATCATACTGCTCGAAAACGCAGGCGTTCCAGGCTGAAGATGAACTCTACTTGCGCTTTGAGAGATTCTTAGGAACACCGGGTGATGAGCCAAACGCATCTAGATCTTTATACCATGTGGGTCTCATGAGGCATTCACAAGTCGCAACTATCACACGCAAACTCGTGCCTTTAACAAAATTAGAATAAAATACTGAATTTCTATTTTTCTCATAATAAAAGTGTATAGTGGATAATATTTGTTTTTTATAAGGGAAAATACCACAAAAAATCTCAAATTATGTCACTTGTGATAAATTTACCCTGAACTTTTTTTTATGACACGAAAAATCTCAAACTATGCCACTTGTGATAAATTTACTCTGAACGTTTTTTTGTGACATGAAAACCCCCAAACTATGCCACTTGTGACACATTTACCCCATAATACTTTGGCCCATGGGCATTTTCGTCTTTTTCTTTTTTCTATTTTTTTCCTATTTTTTTCTTTTCTTCTCCGGAGAGGGCAGCCCTCGCTTGAGTCGGGCGAAGTTGCCCGACCCTAGATCTAGCGAGGGCAACTTCGCCCAACTCTGGCGAGGGCGACCCTCGCCGGCGTCGGGCTGCCCTCACCGGAGAAGAAAAGAAAAAAAAAAGGAAAAAAAAAACAGAAAAAAAAAAGACGAAAATTCCCATAGGCTAAAGTATTGTGGAGTAAATGTGTCGCAAGTGGTATAGTTTGGGGTTTTTTGTGTAAAAAAAAAAGTTTAAGATAAATTTGTCACAAGTGGTATAGTTTGAGGTTTTTTGGGTCACAAAAAAAGGTTCAAGGTAAATTTATCATAAGTTACATAATTTAAAATGGGCCGCGCTTTTTCCACTTCTACCATGACTAAAACACTCCTTATCACAATATTTTGACAATCTTAACCTATGTGGTCCCATCTTTTTTAAGCATCCTTTTTTGCTTGGCTGTGGTGTCCCATTTGTTTTCTTCTTTATTTTTTCTTGTGGGTCTCATTTTTCTCATCCTTCGTTCCTTCTCTCCATTCCTTCTCTCCGTTCCCTCTTAATTCTGATCATGGTTCAAGCCTTGATGGTTTCTGTAAAAAGAAAAAAAAGAACACTCTCTTTTGTGGTCTGTCTTTGTCACTTGTTGTCCCCGCAATATCGCACTAATCGGTTTTTTAATTGTTAACCATAATTTGATACCCATGAACACAATAGACCTAAAGGCTCCCGCATTGAACTCAATGCCTATGAGAACACAAGGATTTGAACAATTGACGGTGGCTCATCGCATATGGGCTCGGACTTGAGAGTTGAGTTCACAATCACCTCTTCAGTCCTCTCAATCACCGACGACAATAGCTCAGTAATTGAGAAGGGTGCGGAAGTTAGAGAAACCGCGAGGGCGAGGAGGGGCAAATCCTTGCCAGTCACATTTTCGTTTTGCATAAATAACTTAATGAGACGGTGGAAGATTCGAGCCATATATTTGAAGGCAGGTAGGTAATGGCGAATTGGCAATGAAGGTGACAATTAGGACCAAGAAGAAAAAGACAAAGAAGCGGGCATTTTTCATGAACTTGATGAGGTTTTGGGCAGAGCTTCAACTCCTCTATTTGAATCTTTAATGGGGTTTTTTTTTCTTGTTTTCATGATCGGTCAATCGAAGAGTTTGATGCGAAATGGGATAATGAATAACACAGAGCGAAAGTGATGGAATGGGAGTGAAGAGACATGAGATTTTTTACTTAGGATTGAACTTTGAGTTGAAGAAGTGGAGATGGAAGATGACTAGTTGGGTGAGGAGGAGGTTTTTGTAAATTTGGGCTTCAACACAGATTATTGACATGAAAAGAATGTTTTAGAAAGAGAGAGAACAAAGAGAAATAAATGAGAAAAAGGAAAGTGGACCTGCGAGATAAAAGAAAAAAGAAAAGCAAACGAAGAATTCTTAAAAAAGGTGGGGCCTATAAAGGCTAATATTGTCAAAATCTTATAAGAGGTAATGTTTTAGCCATAGTGGAAGTAGAAAAAACGTGACCCTTTAAAGATTTTGGTGGTATTTTCCCTTTTTATAAACATGCGGAGAGGAGAAACTACGCAATACGCAAAAGACATTAATTACTTTATCGTTGCGGTCTGAAAACTTGGTACTTTCTTACAATCTAGATGTACTTCTTGTCTCTATTAGCGAGATGAGTTGGATATTCATCGAGCGTATTCTCCTTTTCATAAATCTTGCAACGAAAATCGCTAAAAAGAAATTGAGGTCCCGCTTATTTAAGATAATAACCACAGATTGGTGTAGTAAGCTAATTAACCTAATTTTCATGAAAAATTCTCCCCATCTTTTTACCAAAAGTTTGGAAGTACATGACGGACATGATAGGCACCCATTCAAAAAAACAAAAGATTAAAGAGTTCGATTTTGATAACGATACAATTATTGTGGGATACACTTTGCTAATATTATGACGAAGAAATGGGGAACAGATGCACGTCGGCGTAGATTAAAAAGGAATTTTATTAGGTTTATATCGGCATAAAAAAATAATTTACACTTTCATCATCGGATAATTGATGTATCGACACAGTCGATTATATAATTGTCTCTAATAAATGTGTCATCCGTTCAACGGTAAATGTGTAAAAGGTTTTCTATATCGACGATTGCGGTGTGCTAAATTCATAATATGTGGTACTCCGTAATTAAATTGGAGAGGTAATAACACAAACAGTTCCTAAACTTTGGCCTAATGTGTAATGTGGTCCATGAACTTTTAATTTGTTTAATGTGGTCCATGGACTTTTGGTATATAGTCAATGTAATCCCCGAACTATATGAAAATGTTCAATGTAATCCCTGAACTTAAATCAATTGAAGGAATACATTGAATATTTACATATAGTATCAAGGACTAAATTGAACATATACGAAAAGTTCGGGGACGACATTGAATAAATTAAAAGTTCATGGATCATATTGTACATTGGGTTAAAGTTCAGGGATCGCATTGAATCAATTAAAAGTTCAAGAACTACATTATATATTAAGTCAAAGTTCAAGAACTGTTTGTGTCATTTTATCTAAATTGGATGCAGACTTAATAATATACGTTTCATAAATAAAAAAAAAGAAGGTAATTTAAGAGCACGTGCACATTTTTTTTTTGGGGGTCGGAGCAGAGCATGAGCATGAGCATGAGCGCATTTTTCTGGCCATGAAAATGCTGACTTTTTATCGAGAGGAGGGAGGAGAGAGAGAGAGAGAGAGAGAGAGACAGAGACAGCAACGAGCTTGAGCTCCAGTGCAAGAGCTTTCTGCTCTCTGACTCGCGGCTGCGCGTGTGATATTTTCCGCCCGTCTTCTTGGTTTCGATCGCCGTCCTTCCTTCTCAATGTCGCTCCCTCACGTCGGATCAAGCGTCGACTCGAAAGATGACCGCGAATGCGAAAGACCCATCTCCACCATCGTCTTCATCATCGGTGCTCTCCCTCTCTCTCTCTCTCTCTCTCTCTCTCTCTCTCTCTCTCTCTCTCTCTCATTATTCGTCTCAGATGACTGCGAAAGACCCATCTCCAGTATGTCGTGTTTGCTGTGTGAATTGGATGAGTTAGAGATGTTGGTGTTTGCTCCGTGTATTCATAGAAATGGCGAGTTCTGTTTATACAACTTGTGTGGCGGTTCATGAGTTTGCAGATTCTTGCAAGTAATTATGTTTTTGGTCTCGTAGTTGGCGTTTTATTTTGGTTTTTCTGGGTTTTCTCACTGGGGTCTAAATTGGGTTGTAGCTATGGATGCCGAGGCTCTTCCTATTCTGAAAAGGTTCAATCTTGCTGAGGACAGCACGTTGTAAGCTTCTTCTCTTTCGTGGATGATCATGATGTTGTCATACTTGCTTTGCTCTCATTAAAAGTGGTTTCTTTTGGGACTTTCAATTCAGGATCTATCTTTCTATAATAATTGACTCTATGGTCGATGTCCTTAATGATTACCTTAATTATTCGGTTGCACTTTGCTTTGACTTGTGATCAGTTCAATCACTTTAATAATGATCTGGCTCAAGACGAGCCTTCTGTTCTTTTTTTTCTTTTTTTTTTTTGTCTTCAATGTCTTAAAGGAAACGTCGAACCTCATAGATATGTCTGCAGTCCGGTAAAACCTTCAGATTTTTTCCCGACCCACTGAATCAGGATTGGTGGAGACAACTTGTTTAGTCTCATGTTACTGGCTCTTGCATGCTTTCACCTTTTGTTTGCTTTATCATTATATCCCTGCAACCTCTTAAGGCATTTGACTGCTCCTGAAATTTCCGGATGTAAGTTCCCTTCCATAATGCTCGATGCCATGATGTCGTGGACTGCTTGAAGTTTTGCCATGAGAATTCTGCAAGATGTCTTACCTCAGACATTTCTTATCTTCGCATATGACAAGAAGTAAAACACGTATGCAGTTTTCCAGGTCTCCCTTGGATTCGGTACCATGGCCTTTACAAAGATTTGCAACTGAACGTGATTTGGCCAGGGAAAGATTTAGTTCTTGGTGGGTACCTAACAGGGCCTATTATTCCCTCGTCCATTATTTCCCTGCTCTTATGCCTTATCCACACAAGTCAATATAGGAAAGCTTTTGAATATTATCCTCAGCCACTAGAATGAAACTTTTTCTTACCACAAGGTTTGAGTAATATGGCTGCGATGAAATGCAGTACACCTATTTCAGGGTCTACTTAAAGAGTGCTTACAGAATTGAGAAAATGAAACTTTTATAGAATTTTTTAGAGCTATAAGCACCGTGGTGATGCCATTTAGTCTACTTTGCTAGATTTCAGTGTTATAGATATGCTAGGAACAACTAAGTTCCCTCTTCTTGACTCTTGAGTCAGCTAATTTGCCTCTTTCGACGAGTGTTTCCTAGCTGCAGAATGCCAACATCAGAGAACAATTTGACTTACGGTGGCATAGAACAAGTTTTGCCTTCCTATCAATATTCGTTAAATTTGAAACTTCATGTGCATTAAGATGACACAAGCTTAGTAATGAGTTTCTTCCTCTTCTTGTTCATCTGTAGCCACACACATAAGCACATCAAATGAACTTCTGTAGGGTTCTCTTAACATGAGATAGCATATCTAAATCCTCTGTGGGTCTTTTCAAGCTGAAACATTTCTTTTTCATTACCTAACTCAGATTCACAAATCTCTATCGTATAACTTCAATCTGAAGTTACCTTTTCTCGACAGCACATGAGCCTTTGACCAGAAGAAGTATACAAGGATCAGTATCCTTTGTTTAAGACCAACAGATAGAATTCAGTAGCTATCAGATGCCCTCTGCAATCAATTCGTGACCATTGAATTTCATGCTCATTTACCCATGAGGAACTTACCAACTCCTCTCAGTTTCTCTCTTCAATAGGTGTTAATAATATTGGGACTATTCCAGCAGCACTCGTGACCTATGCATCTGTCCAGGCATTGAAGCCAGACCTCATCATAAATGCAGGCACAGCTGGTGGCTATATGGTAAAGCTGCTTATAATGAGGATTTTGAAACTGTATAATTTATAGAGGCTTCTGAAATATACTTATATGTCTTGTAGCGTCTATTCCAAATTTGTAAAGTGGATTTGTTTCTCCTCAATGTAGGGGCCATCAGTTTCCTTTTCATGAAATTCTTTCTTCAGCCTTTATGCATATGACTTTCAATGTTGTCCATACTATATGCTTTCCACTACTTTCTTATTTGCTCTTTAGTAGATAGAATCCAAGAGGACAGCTTTCTCTTAAATGAACAAAAGATAGGGATGTAAGATTTACATAGCGCCTAAGCACACATGTCTAGAAGACATAATCACTTTAGGTTATTTTACTGACTTTTGGTGATTTCAGTCGAAAGGAGCAGACATCAAGGATGTTTTTCTTGTATCAAGTGTTGCTTTCCATCATAGAAGGATACCTCTTCCTGTAAGTGATCTGAACCTTCTGATTCTTAAATGCTTTTTCTCTTGATAAACACAAGATATGTGCAGGGAGGTGCATCTACCTTTATTCCAAATGTCGGTTTGTATTATTTATATCGTGGTGGTGATCAGATCCTTGGCAGTATAGGAGGTGTCTGCTAAGTAGAGCAATTGCATTACATTGAAATTTTGACAACTTCTGCAATTTAAGATAATAAGTCATGCTTTTTTCTCTGCAGGGTCGGGATTCGTATGGAGTTGGCCGGCGACAGTCCTTCTCAACGCCTGTTCTTTCTGCTGAGCTTCAACTGAAGGTCATCATTCATAGATCGCAGGCTTGCTCAATATGTATTCATACTTTGTATGTTTTATCATGTTACATGGCATAGAGCATTTGTGACAGTTTTTGTGAATGACAATGTGTTTTGCTTTTTATATATCAACGTTAACGCTTGCAACACCTTGAGAAACAATAATATAGGATTTATTTAATTTGCTCACCTCCCTATGTTACACTAGTTTGGCTTGATATATATTATATTGAAGAACTATGTGATTGCATTACTTTATTATCAAGGTAATCTTCACATGAGAATTGTCATATGCAGCCTCAATCATGATATAGAGATGCTCTATCATGGTCATTAGATTTTAGGCTTACTTGTATTGACTGAGGTGGAGCAGTCTCTAGTATTTGATGGATTTAATGGGAAAGCATGTAATCCAAATGATTTTAAGATCTTTGGTAATCTGCAGAATAGTTCACCTTTAATCTGGTTTATCGGTTATGCATTGCAACTTGGTTACTCATCATAGTTTGTACTTATTATTTATTACCCTCTACATTTCTTTACCTATAACGATCTTATACAGAATTTTTATTTGGAGTCACTCGATATTCCAGGCTGGAGTACTATCCACTGGTGACTCCTTTGATATTTGCCCACCGGATGAAGCATTCATCGCCGCTAATAACGCAAACCTTGTAGACATGGAGGTAACCCTTTTGATCAATGCATGTCCTGACATCATTTCGAGCATGTCCTGACACCAATTTCCGACACGCACTTCATGTTTCTCAAATTATCTTGATGCATTAAAGTTCCTGCTTTATGGCAGAATTATGACTGATAGAAGTGAAAGTAACATAGAGAAGGATTGTTTTGGTGATATAGCCACACAAGTCTGAAGGTGACATTGTGAAGGGGTGTTGTAGAGGCCAGATTTTAGATCCTCAAGTAGTTCTGGAGATGTGGTCACTCAGATTTTTCTTGACTCGATCTGATTAGACCAGCAAATTAACATGTCCAGAGTCTTATGATTTGTTCAAAGCTTCACAAAAGCTGAAGTATCAGCTTCTTTTTTAGGAGGATGATGAATCAACAGACTGCTATGAGCTACTTCAGAAAATGATAATCACAGTTTTATAGTTGTCGTTTTAGTTAGAAGATTCAGGGATCGATTTGGTTTGCAGGGAGCAGCTGTTGCCTATGTGGCAGGTCTATTAAACGTCCCCTCTATATTCTTGAAAGTTGTGAGCAACGCTGTTGATGGTGGCAAGCCATCTGTAGAGGAATTTCACCAGAATTTGGCAGTGGCGACGTCTGCCCTCGATCGGACAGTTGCAGAAGCTGTGGACTTCATCAGTGGGAAGTGCCTGTCTGAACTGTCCATCTCTGAAACATCTTCTGTGGGCTCTACGAGATTGTCCTGACTAAAACTATAGTTGTTTTAGTTGCGCACTTGATCTTCTCTTATTTGAATGTTATCGCAGTTTGCTCATTCGTGATATAACTGTTGAATCACTGGGAGTCCAGAGTCTTCATGATGGATTCAACTGGTGAAGCACACAGGCCATAGACTGCTCACAAGCCATCCGTTGCAATGAGCCAAATTCGGCCTGAGGCACCTCTAACTTTCCTCATAAATGAGACATATGTCTCGTATTTCACTGAGAATGCTATCAATGCTGTTGATCATTCCCTGAAATGCAACACCAGTCTGCTATTTCTGAATGTGATGAGACTTCAATGTGGACCAAAGGCCAGAATGGCATTATTCAAGTATCATGTTGCTCTTTCATCTCTAGATAGACGTGATGGCTTTCCTCATAAGGACGAGTTGATTGAGACTCTTCCTGTCTCATGGGGAATTTCTTAGCTGAATTCCGAAAACAACAGTTCCAATGCATTCACTGATGTTTATTTTGTTAGATCCAGGTTGAACCCACATGATAAATGGCCGTGATGAATTTGAGCATACAAGTTGGGTGCAGACGAGATTTTTCTCAGCAGAAAATTCTTCTTTCAAACCCGGGTCATCACTTGAGAACAGGGGCAAATCACATTTTGCTTCCTAGATTTAGGCACTTGTTGCTAATTGGCTTCGTCTGAAATTTTGTATTATCTTTACGAAGTCCTGAAATCGGTTGCAATGTCCCTCTTGAAGATATATGGCCTGTAAGGATTAAAAAATTGATTTGCTAATATAATAGTATTTATGGTCAAGCAGCCAAAAAACATATAAAATGTTTTTACGCAAACATTACATTAGCAAAAATAAGTTAAATGTTGATCATTGCTTTACTAAGCAATTCTTTGTAAACTTTGTCTTGTATATTCGAATATCGTCACCGCATGATTTTCAGTTAATATGTACAGAACTCTATTCGAATTCAATATTTTCTCAGTTTATTCTCATTATACATAGCTAATCTTTGCCTATAAATATAATGTTTTGTCTATTTTGAGCTAATAAGATTTAATATGGGGCTTTTATGTGTGGGAACAAGAAGATAGTGGAAGTAACAATTGGACCGATACTATTACAATTTTTTGCAAGGAAGCACCCATATATATATTTATTTTGCAGTATAGAATTTCTCTACGAACAATGTAAGCAAGACATTGCATCAATAGACAAAAAAATCTAAATACAAGTTTTTAAGTACTATCTTTTGTCAAATTTATATATGGCTAAAGCAGTTCCTTTTTTTTTTTGTGAAATCATGCTTGCGCATTAATATATTTATAAATAAATTGATAACTCCAAAAAAAAGAAGAAGGTATGGCCCCATGCAATTTTCATATTTAATAATTGATAAAACCATTATAAACGAAGAAAAATCATATAAAAATTCTCAACTGGTGGCTATCATTTCAAATTAAATCCAAATCAATTATTGCAAATTGATGTCTACATATTATCCAAGTATCATTATATTATATTAAGTAAAAAATTCCACATGTAATACATCCTCCAAATTCCCAAGCAACTGATAATATTTTCTCCCAAATATTGTTAGTATTAGAATGCGCGAATGCAATCGAATCGGAAAAGAAAAAAGAAATAGAAATTAGAAGATGAAAAAGGCAGACATACAGGAAAAAATCTACATACCAGCATTACTTAGACAAAAAGACAGGAGGAGTTTGTTCAGAGGAGTAAATTTTGAATGACAGGAAGTAAAAACTCAAAACAAGTCGACGATTGATGAGTTGCAGAAAATGAGAAAGAAACATGAATCTACTAGAAAGTCCAAGAATTGGATCTCCTCATAACCGGCTTCGTCTGTCTGTCTTCCTCAAGTGATACCATACCTATATGTGAAGGGTCTTCCAACATCATCTTTGCCACCAGGTAACCGGCGATCGACCAGGTTTGGAATTTGCGAGCCTGCTTCCCGATGTAACAACCGAGCTTTCCGTCATAGTACTCTGGCCAGTTGTCCTTGTGTAGCCTCGCTTCTGCAAGTTCAATGGCTCTTCTTGCGATCAGGGGTCGTCCGGTCTTGATACACGCGGCAGTCAGAAGCCATAGAAGCACTGCACACATTGTGACGGCAAACAAATTTTGAGAATAGAGGTTGATTTGAAAGAGTCATTCAGAGCAAAACCTGAAAACGTGTATATCGAAGAAATTTGGAGCAACTAGCAAAGCGCACTTTGACCATGTAGAGTAAACCGTGTTAATTTATCAATCAAATACAATTGAGGTTATACAAATCCCTCAAAGAGCAGATCAATGGAAACAAATCAACTTCACTTCTCATGGGCAAGTTTCAGGAGCATACCTGGCCAAGATCCTCCATTGTGGTAGCTCCATCTAGTGTTCTTCGGATCGCACCCTGTAACGATCCTCCATTCATGGTTTTCTATGGCTGGATAACAAACTTTCAGAGGCATTTCTCCAACTAACTCCTCCCAGCGTGATTCTATTAAATCCATTATGGCAGTGGACTGTTCTGGCGTCGCCAGTGATGACAAAATGGCAATACAGTTACCCAAGCAGAACCAGCGGAAATCCATTCTAGCAGGGCTAACGTTACCGACAAAATATCCGCCGCGAGTTGGCATAAAATCAAAAACCCATTCTGGAAGAGAATCAGGAATCACGTTGAATTTGTTGACTGCTGTATGAGAGTACTCCTCCGTCTTATAACGATAAATATCGTTAAGCTGCTTTAAGTCTATCCAGAAGTAACCCCTCATGTGATAAGTTAGGGCATGAAGGCGTTTGACAATACGTTCCACAAATTCCTTTCCCTCCACATCTTGCTTTAGGAGAAGCAAAGCACATCTTAGTGCCATAAAAAAGAGTGCTTGTATTTCAATAGGATAGCCATAGACACCCTGCAAAATACAAACAATTTTGAACTGAGTTAAAGTAAATGAATAATGAGAACAAGTAGATCCATAACAGTTTTATCATTTCTAAAAGTTGCAGGATGTGCTAGCTCCTCATGGACCTTGATTAGGTGGAAAACAGAGACATTCGATGACATCAAACCTAATTCATTTTTTCTCTCGCAATATTAATCAGACATTTTGAGCAAGTTAGATGATAACAATTCTCTCTTTAGATCATTCATAAAGCAGCATGAAAAGACAAGTGTAACATTTGAAAGAAAATTACAAGTCTCATCTATCACTCATGTAATGAACCTACGAGGTTGCATTACTTTTGTTCATTACTGCCAATTATTTGTTCATTTCTGGCATGATGATGCACCTACATATGAATGTCTGCTTGTGAACCAGTCTATACATTTGGATTATTTAGAATAAAGAGCAAGCATTTCAGTTCGATCAAATGTAAAGAACCCTTAAACAACAATCTTGTGAATCCCTTCACATTGTGAGAAGAGAAGTATGATGTTGCAATTGAATATCACTTCGTGGTTAAAACAGAATTGGCTCCTCTACATGATTGAAATTAGAAGATTGATATTAAACTACTATGTACCTAAGCAAAGTCATAAGATAGTGATGCTATGAGAAACTCACCATTCTACGGTCAATCATACAACATCCGTCAGCACAGAGAAGAGTTGGAAAGGTGTCAAAGCCCTCTGACAGACACAAACTCAGAATTAGACGCATGCCCTTCTGGCATTCAGATAGTTCGGCCAAGGATGTATCTCCTGTGGATTTTGTATAAGCTCGGAGCAGAATAATCCACCAAAACCCAGAATCAATAGGAGCAACCCTTCCTATCGCACTCTCTCCAAAATCAGCTATCAGAGTTTCGTTATTCCTGACTGGATCATGGAGCACTTTGAAACTAGCTGGCATTACTCCTTCTCCTAGCTGGAATCTATCGATTTTCTTCTCCCATGATTGTAGGCGAAGAGTCTTCAATATGAAGTTTTTGACTATTTCAGATTCTCCATTCATCAGAAAAGCCAATGCACTAGGAAAAAAATCTCTCACAAAGACCTACAGAGCCAATGAAAAAGTTAGCATTCACTCCTTATTGAAGCTGCCAACGCTCTGAACCATGTCCAGATAAATACTTTCTCCTTTAACTTACTAGAAACCTAAAAAAACTCCTGTACACCAAGTCCATCAACAAGTAAACAGATAGCATATATTGGACTACAAGTGGATCATATGAGCTATAAAGTAAAGATGCCACGATGCCCTGTGTAAATAAGAATTTCTGGAACAGAATATTGAAAGTAGTTACCCTGACTATTCTAAAGTACATGACAGTTTGTAAAATGAGAAAATTGGGATCGGTCAAGATGCTGATTGAGTTGTAACCAAAAAAAGAAGACTCATCGAGGGGAGCATGTGGTCTAAAATATTCAGTACATGCTTATTTACAAACAAAAGGGCGAAGAAAACCATCTGTACAACCAACAAATTACTTCAACCAATACAATTGATATGTGTTTTCCCAAACCATTCATGTTCGGTGGACCAAGAAGGACAGACGCAAGCAGTGGTGATGATCACTAAATAGGACGAAGTTGAAGGTACTCCATCATACAATCCGGAGATCGTACTCGTTACCTGATCATAATTAAGGTTCTCTCCAGAATTATCCAATGCAGCAATAGTCCCAACTGGTCGACCGCGAAAATATACTAATGATCTCCTCAGTGCTTCCCAAGCTTCAGCAACCATAGGATGGGTCTCAAATCCATTCTCTGCCCTTGGGGTATTATAGCCCGACCTTCTCTCGGGAGACAAAAAGCAACCAAAGGGGTCGGTCAAACGGAATGAATGCTCTGCATTTCTCAAGGAGAGATGAGGAGACAGTGCAGTCGACAATTCATTAAAGGATCGTTCATCGAGTGACCTCTTCCTTTCCATGTTCAAAGGCCTCGGCCTCTCCATCAATTTCGAGAAATCACATTCTTCGGTCTCGGCTAAAGTACATAGCATATCAGATCCTCTCGCATTTCCGTTTTCAGAAACATTGCCCTTCCGCTGCACGTCCATACTAAGCGTAGACAATATTCTCAGGGTTCTTGAGCGAAGTTAAGTGATCCCCGAAAGTCGAATGATACGATCCACTCTGTACAAAACAACATAATTAAGCTACCTAGAAACCAGCAACAGTCACAAGTTCTCATGTACTTCCTGTGCTAAGGTGTTGGTAGTTGCCCATCTCATCATCTGTGAAATAAGTCTACACAGTACTTTTTCAGCGAAACTCCAATTCAGATCTCGAATGAATATAATTCTCACTGAATCACTTGATCAATGACACTAGAAACAGCTATGTAAGGCCAAACAGATGCTACTCGGAAACAAGTCGTTCCTGCATAGAATACATCCAATTCCCTCCAAATCTACGAA